AGAACATAGATTCCAACTCTGAAAATTAAGATTGGAAGTTCTCACCTTAAGTGTTACTGATTCCCAAATAACAATTTTGAGGCTGCTTTAATGAAAGAGAGGAACAAGCCAGAAAATCTCACAGAGATGCAAGCATTTTGCTTGAACCTCAACTGTTGTGGGAAAATTCTTATCTAGCATGCTGAACAATGCTGAAAGATACTCCTGTATTTTTCATAGTTTTCTCCAGAGTCAGAACTAGAAGAGGAAAAATATGAGTCTGAAGAGATGGATCCCTCTATGATGTAATATTTTGCTTGTCTAGCTTGGGGAAGGAAAAAAGAAGGTATCATTGAGATACACAATGCAGTGAATTCAACTATCTTCAAAAAACTGGTTTCTGAAAGAGAGTTGAAAGCATCTTTTCCTCTATGAAAGTTAAAAATGGGAAGGGGAAAACTAAAAAAAAAAAAAAAACAAAAATCATGCACCAGGTTTTAGTACGTCAGGAAAAGATAATGTGAACATTCTCTATAGAAATGATCATGCAATCATTTCTAAAAATGGTTACAAAAAGTAGCAAAGCATGAAATATGCAGTTGAGAGGACAACTTCATGCAGAATGGGTTTGTACAGTACATACCCAGATAGGATCTCTTGGGAGGTGCTTTGATTTCTTCATCCTTACTATCTGCAGCTACATAAAAAACAGTTCAGGGGGAAAAAAAAAAAGGAAGGAAAGACAAAGAGACTTGTATGATTAAATGCAACAGTGGGTCTTTTAGTTACAGTTTAGTCAGTTAGTACATTTTCCTTATAAACAAAAAAGTAGCCAAAACAAAACATGCCAGAAGTTTTAGTCTCCATGCTTTCGGTAAGGTTCCCACCCCATGATGTTAATATAGAGTACAGTAGGAAGTCCCAGAACAGTCTCAGTGCACAACACAACAGCAATTTACCTAGGGGGAGAAAATGGAAGACTTAAAAACAGTGAAACAGACAGCTTAACTCTTACTTCATATACTTTTCATGATCAGAGAAAACAAGTCGCTGCCTCAGCAACTCTGAGTACACTGAGTGTGTAGATAGATATGTATAATCAGCTACGACAATACAGTTGCCTTGCCTCCTCTAAAATAGTTTCTCGCTGCTCTAAAATAGTTTCAAAAAGCCTGAGCTTAAGCCAGTCCTATCAAGACAGACAGAGCAGACCCCCATCTGCAACCATTCTGCATGCTAATTTTTTTTCACTCTAGCCTTCCTCTGCCAGTTGAAAACCATATATTACGCAAGAGTGCTTTCCAGTGCCAAAAACAGAGATCTACGAGGGATCAGAGAGCTATAATAAGATACAAGTTATAAAACAGGTTAAGACAACCAGCAGTCAGAAGAAAGACAAAACTGATGAATGACCAGAGGAAATCATCTTCATGTAGCAACACAAGAGCCCATGCTCTACTTAAGGAGCCTGGGCTGTACTATAAGAAAAAGTGTCTGAGGGGCCATTTTTAACAGACGCTGTCCCCTGGTTTTCAGTATAGTTCACACATGCAGGGTGCTCAAAATCTGTCAGAATGTCTTGGGCATAACTGAAACTGAATCTTTGTTGGAGACAGGTGGAAGGCTTATTTGGGGAAAGAAAAAGAGTTTTTCATATTCTTTGAGAGACAGACACTCTATGAAGAGACTGGTCTGGCCTGCCAACATTTTCAAGAGTGACCAGATGTTTTTAGCTGTCCATACCTGTAAGCACCTTGCTTCAGCTTCCAGAAAAGGCCCTGATTTTTGAGTCAAGACACAGCACATGCACGGTTTGCTTTTGAATATTTAGCTCTCTAGCATGGTAGCACCATCATGCCCCAGATATACTACAGAGCTTTGAACAAAAACAACTGTAACAAAAGAAACTACCACTGAACCTTGAACCTTTCCATACTGAGCTAACAACAAAGCATACATACAGCTTCACAGACACCAATGTAAAAGTGGGCAATGAATAAGGAGAGGTATTGTTACCACAACAATGGTACCAGGAGATCTGCAAGTAAAGCAGTCAAGATGCAATTAAAGTGGTGTTAAATAAAGGATAGAGGAGGTATTGTTCCAGCCTGCTGATTTCATCTGAAGACTCCTTCACCTAGCTTTCAAAGCATTCACATGCAGGAGAGAGAACTGTCCTATAATCAGAGGTTTTAAAATAAAGTCAGGGTTTTTTTTGTTGTTTTCTTCTTTTGTTTGGTTGGTTGGTGGGTTTTTTTTCCCCAATTCAGAGCAGTCGAAAACAGGCTATACAGTCCAAGTTTAAAAAATAATAAAGCAGTTGGATATATAAAGAGGACTTAGTCTGCCTTCAATCAGTACGTGTAATTGAAGGATAAAGTTTATGTATCCAGAACAAAAAGTCAGAAGGCAGCAGAGGCACAAGATGGGCACCACCACTTTCAACTTACTTCAACTTTGCAAAACTAAAAGGGGGAGGGGAGAATCCCATAATTGAGAAGTGACTGAGAGAAAAAATAAAGATTGCAAGAGTTTTCCTAGTAAGTTCTCCATATAGAGCCTACAAGAAATAATCAAACATTGCTGACAAGAGTCCAGGAAGACTATTTTTCTTGCTATGATAGTTACCGAATAAATGAAAAGTACAAGCATTTTGATCGAATGGCTTTACGTCTATGTTCTGAATTGCTATTGATATGTATTTTAACTCAGTAACACCATAAAACAGGCTAGAGAATGCATAACAAGCTTGTCAGGATTAGGAGAGACCGCTCTTTAATGCTTCAAGAAACTTTAAGTAGAAAACTTCTGAACTAGTTACTACTTAAGGGACCTCATCTGTGAGAATAATAAAAACAAGGGAGGAAAAAAGGCAACTCCCACATAATTCAAAACACACTGGTAAACATACACTAATGTGACTGGTGGGGGAAATACTACATTTAATAGTAACACAAGAAAACAGCAAACTCCCTTCCGCTGAAATATTCCATCCTATTCACTTTCTAAATATTTTGGATTATTATGCAGAAACATTCAGAGGGAAGGTAGAAATTTAAGAAGAAAAATGTTTAAATTGAAGACCAGCCATGTGAGAAATAATAAATTATATTATCATACAGAAATTGTGCACCTTCTCCCTTTAATCAAAAACACTGACTTCAAAACTAGCTTCTCACTGCCCCAGTAAGCTATGCGGAAAGAAAGTAAGTACACAGATTTATCAGCTTGCCTAGATCACCATAAAACTTAAAGAGATAAGATTAGGAGTAGGTAGAAACAGGGATCTCACTCCTACTCTAATTGTGCCTGAAATAACCAATCTATCTTTCTGCCGCACTTGAAAGGAGCTTTGTATGCATTTATATGTTTATTCTGAGGAATTGCATTATAGTTAGCCTTACTAAAAATCAATCAATCACAGGTAAGAAAAAGATTTTACCTGTTTTTAAAGTTTGCGGGAGGATGCAAGCCTACTGATGAAAACAAACAATTAAGTAGGCAAAATCATTCTCTCTAGCTAATTAAACACATAACAAGTTGAGTTTCAGGAAAAAGGATCAAATGACACGATGCAACCTTGAGGAGTTTCCATTACCTGTTAAGGGAAAGACTGATTATCCTTTAGGAGACCGTATGTCTTCCAGGAAGAGTTTAAAGAGGGCTATATACTTAACTGAATAGCCTCCCTTTTTGTGCAAAGGTTATCGAAGGAGCCTGCAAGAGCATGTGCACAAATGTGCACGAGGATAATTTACCCTCAGAAAGGGCAGACAGAGAAGCCTTTCTGCCAGTTCACAAAATGCTAGCACACAGAGCAAAAGAGGGAGAAAGCATACATGCCCCTCCCAAGTGCTTCCTGGATTTTATCTGCTGCTAAATCTGGCTGAAAGTAGTTTTTAAGTCATTCATCCTGCCAGACGAACAACCCTTGTGAACACAGCAGCTTCTCTTTGGGAGCTGGACTGCTCCTATTCCACATGAATTCACTTACCTAAATAGTTTCACACTACACTCCACAGTAAGTGGAAATGGAAGTAGCTTCCTTAAGTATTGGATAAATTACCCTACTGCACAGCCAGTAGATGCTGCCTTCTAATGACGGCTGTGGATATCTGGAACTGAATCAGACCCTCAATTATTAGGGAGTGAGGGAAGAGAACAGATGGAGAGAATAAATTAAACATCCATATTGGCAAAACAACTGACAAAAAGCCGACAGCATTAATTCTGTTCTTGTTGGTAATAAGCTGTAACATAAAATGTTGTAAAGTCAAAGTCAACACAGAGAAACACAAAAACTACCCCCTCTCACATTTCTTATCTGGGGAAAAAAAGCAGGGATTTTCCACAGGGCTTGAACATTTCATTAAATAGAGAATAATATTCTGGCATGACTGAAACTATCAATGCCTAAAAATTAACAAATAACCAAAATAAAATGTGGCAATTCCCATAAATCCCCACTAATCCCACACTAAAGCCCAAAGAAATGGTGTACAAAAAGACAGTTTTACAACTGTGATACAACAGCACCTTCTATTTTGACAGGTAATAGCTGTAGAAAATAGTAAACAGTAGAAAATAAATTATGTACAAAAACAAGTGTTTGCAATTGCAAAATAAAATTTCAGATAATAGTGTATGATCATACTTAAGAACCTGGTAGAAAGTACAGCTGAAGAAAATAACTTCTTATTCTGGCCAAGATCTTAAAAAAAAAAAAAAAAAAATCCAGGCTAGCACAATGGCATGACAGCCAGCTCTACACTCAGGGCACAGTGTGAAATACTAAGGAGAACTCTGATTTCTAGACTGAACCAAGACCCATCTGAAATAAAATTACAACTTGAAATATTTATCTGGGAAAAAGCAGTTTTAAAAAAGAAGTTCAGGAAGTGCTACACTGAATTATCAAGAAAGGAGACTGGATTGCAATTCAGACAGAACTTTTGTCCAAAATACAGTGAACCATGCTTTCAAAAAGATTTATTCCGCTAAAGCCAGCTCCTGTCACTAACCTGCAAAAGAGCGGCGTTTTATGTTTAGCTCGTTGGACACACGTACTTCAGTGCACAGTTTCAGCATCAGTAACATAGTAATGATCATGATAATGCTTTGCCACAAAAGAGGGGATTCAAAATGCCTTCCAAACCTAAAAAAAAAGAGAGAAGAAAATATATAAAACATCTCAAAAATGACAAGTGCTGTACTCAATTACTTTCATTCTTTGCTCCTATGTAAGCACCTGAAAAAAAACAGTAACAGGTATGAAAGGCTGAGAAAGTCACCAGCCAAATCTAGATGCACAAACCACAGCTCAGTCACAATCCCCTTGCATGAGTATCTAAGAACCTTACTACAACATCGCTGTGGACTGATCCTGGAAATTCTGAAACCAGAAGATTAAGTCTTTGTTTCCAAAGCCAGCAGAAAACCTATTATTTTGAAAGGAGTAGCAGATTCATTGAGTGGTCAAGGAAGTAAACAGAGACCAGAGAGTTATGCCACGTTAATACCAGCGATGTGTCCTCTCCATATACACACTCTGTAGATTTCACAAGGACTTCTGTGCAAAACTTACCTCTATCAATTTTTCATTTTGAAGGTGAAGTCACAAAAACAATAGCACTTGCCCTATACAGAAATAAATACCCACAGCTATTAGCTTGCTAGGTTAATATAGCAACTTCCTAGAGGGGGGGGGCGGAGGGGGAATGATTATGCTTTGTCTACCTTGTCTACCTCTAGACATCTGAGTGGAAAGACCAGGTCCGCAGAACACAACAATCAAATCATCAATTTGTGTCTAATTTGGATCAAGGTTGGGGGAAGTAAGGAAGTTCAAAAGATGTAGGAACCAAACATATGTAATTTGACCTCTCCTGCCCTCCCCCCTCCTCCCAATTTTATTTCTGCTTGCTCACAGATGATGCTTGGGGGGGACTACCGAGCCCTTCCTGCACATAACACACAGAGGTGAACTCAGATTGTGGCTCACCTTGACTGAAGATCTTACTCTTACATAATTGCACAAGGTTCTGCCACAGGAAAATTATAGAATGGTTTAGGTTGGAAGGGACCTGAAAGATCATCTAGTTCCACCCCCCCTGCCATAGGCAGGGACACCTTCCACTAGACAAGGTTGTTCAAAGCCCCATCCAACCTGGCCTTGAACACTTCCAGGGATGGGGCATCCACAACTTCCCTGGGCAACCTCTTCCAGTGTTTCACCACCCTCACAGTGAAAATTTTCTTCCTAATATCTAATCTAGATAGACTCTCTTCCAGTTTTAATCCGTTCCCCCTCGTCCTATCACTACATGCCCTTGAAAAAGTCCCCCTCCAGCTTTCCTGTAGGCCCCCTTCAGATACTGGAAGGCGGCTGTAAGGCCTCCCTGGAATAAGACCATTCAGTGAAGACCGGTGATTCTCCAAGCTCCTCTTCCTTCCTTACCTGAAAGCTCAACAACCCTCACCAGACACGCTTAGTAAATTCATTAGGGGTAAAGGGTGGAAACTTTTCATATGCAGCCCTCAAAGTACATTAGATTTACAATAGGAAGGCTGCATGCACACCACTGTGAGCTGCTTTTCTGTGCTCAGTTCTGCCACATTTTATGCCTTGAAGAAAGACAGATGCTGAGGAAGGGATTTGGTGAAAACACACTGCTACGCTCCCCAGCTCCTTTAGACTGAACCATGAGGCACACAGGCTTTCCAAATTCTCTCACATTAGAGTTACTAAGGCCTTTCTCTGAGCACATGATGCTGCTGGAGACCTCACAAGCATGGCAATCACTGCCCTCTTCTTGATAGTTCCTGTTCTAGAGCACCCTGGCAAAATATAGTTTCTTATGCTTAGGCTACTTTCATAGCAGAGCTCTATGTTAGTATAAACCAACTAGGTTCAGCACCACACTCTCTCAAACAATACTGCATTTCCACTATAGCCATTTCGCCACAGAGATTTTTTTTTTTTTTTTGTTACAAGTCAACTAATAAGGCCCAGGAGAGAGACTGGAAAGTGCTTGACTAGCTTCCTTGGAAATCTTTGTGTGCCAAACAGCCAAGCAGCCCACACCAATTAAAATGGCCAAGTATCTCCTGCCTAATGGCATACAGCTAAGGAAAAGTACAACAATGCCTTGAGCCTCCACACCACTGCCCAAGATACCACCAGTAGCTACTGGAAGAACAGCAGTTGCATGCACCTTAGTCCCCCACTTCTTTCTACCATCAATGGATTTGTGGTGGGCTACATGAGAGCCATTATCATAAAAAATTTGGAAGACATGATGAGGAAAGAAATAAAGAACACAACTGATGCATGTAATCACAGGCAGAGTGCTCTCTGGATAAGGCTTTCAATTCACTAGGAAAAAATGTAGGGGATAAGAACAAAAGTTTGGTCCAGCCTATGCCCCATGCCTGCAATACCAAAGCTCATTCAGCCTGCGTCATTGACTGTGGCCAAGTTCCCCTGAACTACTGGAATTCACGACTGCTATACTTGTCTCTTATTCAGGGAATGAGGAAAAAAAAATGGGAAAGACTTACTTAGAATTACAGAGCAGTTAAAACTGTTTACACCAGGATTATAAAAAACATCTCCAATTACAAATGTACTTGTACGTAAAAATATAGTAATGCATTTAAGAGGGGCTGAGCTAGCAGCACAATAAGCTAGAAGCTATTATGATGGTAAATCCAGCACAGGTTGCTGCAAGGTTAGTGTCTCACTGCTGATGAGATTATCGGCCATTCAGTAATGGGTGTCTCACAAAAGTATTGCCTGCAGTGTAAACATCCACCCACTACAAACACACAGAAGCATGGCCACCTGCTGTCTCATCATAACAATTTGCCATCACCACAGCCTTAACTGGAAATGAGACTGAAATTATTGCTGCAGATCCTCTACCCCTTAAAAACTGAGGAAAAAGAAGTAAAATAAAACTCACAACACACAAGAGAGGTAAACTGGAAATTTAAAAATTCTTACAGGGACTTCAAACAACGCACACCTGTAGATTTTTGCCTTTTTTCTTTTTTTTTTTCTTTTTTTTTTTTTAAGCCCTCCACCCAAAGACAAAGGTTACACAACAGAACATACTCATGTGAAGTACATACCCCTAAAGACCAATCCCCAAACTGAGTCTCAGAGTCAACACAACCCTCTAAGCTAAATCACATCTACAGGAAATGAAACAGCTGCCATGGAGACCAACAGGCAGAACAAACAGGACATGGCTTACACCACACTACGACACCACCACCACATGACTGAAGGGGATACCACTGTCAAGGACCACTGTCAGGTCCCTGATGATTTAAAAGTAAAGCCAGAACACTCGTTTTGATCAGGATCATGGAAACAAACACCTCTCCAAGCTGCTTACTCTACTTCGCATTGATACTAGGGCCTTCTGAAGCAACACTAATCCATTTCAAGACTCCTCAAGACAGCTTGAGCTAGGAGCACTGCAAGATGCAAGCTCTGCAGGGAGAGCATGCTGTTCCACGTTCTGTTTACTTTCTGCCTCACAGAGGCGATTCCTGTCTTTGCCAAAGCAGGAGCCGGGAGGGGAGAAATATTAAAGTAGATTATGAGAGAAAGATGAAGAGCGTTAGGATATTAGAACAGGTTCGTGGGAAAGAACAACTTTGAAGTCCTTGGGATGAGGGGGTCACCCTCATTATTGTGCATTTTCACCCCAAAACTACAATGTTATGTGACAAAGTGAACCACTGTGACATTTGCAGTATTCGGGGAACACAGACTTCATATGTCAGACCAAAAAAAGACAAAGACTTTTTCCACTGTTTATTTATTAATGTAAAAACAAAAAGAACTCTTTTTCCTCTACTAGTCAAATGTGCAAATAAATGGGTGGAGTACCTTACATTTTATTAGTATCTCAACTACCTTAAAACAATTAATGCATGTTCAGGGTGATGAAGACAAGTGAAGTGAACACTCAAGCCAGCGCAGAGACTAACTAGTCATGGAGATAACAAGGTAATCGGTACAACTCAATCCTGCTGCAATAATCCTGCTGCTCCAGTCCCAGGCCTACTCAAAACAGCAAATGTCGACTGTGCCAAAGAAGCCCAAACTAGACCAAACACAAAAGGTTTGCTTATCTCCTTTCCTAGGAGGTCTCCGAAAAGAAAATGCCTGCTGTCCGTGCAACCAGACGACCGTCACCCCCCAACCACGCTGTTTCCTCCTACACCCGCCGGCTGCTGTCCCAGGCGCTGCGCTCCATCTGGGGCAGGGCCGCTCGCCCGTCCCCTGCCCTGACACCGGCAGGCCTAACACCGCACCGCCTCAGCTCACAGAGGCGCTTCCACTCACCGCAAGAGTGGAAACCACCGAAGTTACTACAGGTCTCACCGCTCTGGGTCGACTTCGGCAGCTCTTTGGGAAGCTACAGACTCTAGGCAGCGTGGAAAGCATGCGAGATGCTGCACACACCACCAGGGCCATGACAGATAGCCCAGTGTCCTGAAAGACAGCCCATAAATTACAGAATTTAATCAGCAGAAAGAACAAGAAACAAATTAGTTTTACAGCAGTATCTTGGTACGCGTTTCTCCTTGACACGTAAACTTCCAGGACTTTACGGAACACCCAAAACAAGCTTCTCACTTGGGCATACAAAATCCTACTTTACCTTTACCGTTTGTACAAAAGAGCAGTGCATTTTATCCTTGCTCTCTGGCACGTATAAAAAGGAGGAGGAATTGCATAACACTTTTGCTCTCAATATCTGAGCAAGATTCCACTAGCAGGCCATATGTAATGCAATCTTTCAAAGTTGTCGTCACTTGTCAGCTTGCTTTATACCATCATCCCACCTTCCCCACATGGTAAAAGCTGGCAAGATTCCTTTTTGTAGCAGAAGTCTTAAAACCAAAAGTTTCTCCTTCCCACAGGAAGTCCTACAAACAGACACCACCGGCCCACGACTTGAAGCCAAAGCAGCACCTGACAGCAGGGACCTGATCCACCAGTAGCACTGTAAGTATTACAGCAAAATAAATAAACATGTAGGAATCTACCCCAGCCAGCAGCGAGTCCAACATTTTCCTCCAGCTGCATACTTGTCTCAGTAAACCTCTACTCATAACAGGGAGCTTATTCCACTG